TGGTTTCATGCTATTGAAATTAATAGATTATAAAACACGTTGATTGTGAAAAACGGTGGCAGAAAGTTGAATAGTAATTACTTATGCTTGATTGATATATTGAAGAAGAGAGAGAGTGCTAAGCCGAAATGTAAAAAGACGACTCAACTTGTCTACTCAGTGATGATTCTAAATTCACTCACACTCGTCCAACATTTTAAATTAATCGCAGGTATGAAGACCAAGATGGCGTGGCCTTTTGTGTAGTCGCAGTCTCCTTTCGTTGTAGAGAAGTAGTTTGACCTTGTGTTCGCGAATTGGTCATATTGGTAGGAAGACTTAGAGAAAGGCACCTAGTCCGGAGTCCATTGTATGCATGATCATTTCCAAAGTCGGACTGTGGACGTAGTACATTCCCAGACGTTTAGCCTGCATCGTAGTCGGCATCATCAGTAAAGGTGTAATAGGAGGAGATAAGAAATGTGTTTATCCTAGGGCAGAAGGGGAGATACCACAACTGTTTAGCACACGTTTGGTCAAAGGATTGGCTTCACTTGTTTCTTTGACGAGTTGTTTTGTGGTGCTGAGAATAGCGATACTCACTGACAATGTCGTCTACGATGCCGGCGAAACGTCTGGAAATGTACCACGTCCACGGTCCGACTTTTGTAAATGATCATGCATACAATGGACTCGGGACTAGGTGCGTTCCTCTAAATCTTCCTACCAATATGACCAAGTTGCGAAAACAAGTTCAAACAACCTCCATGTAAAGTTAGGTTCATCAACCAAACCAGAGATACGAGATTACATAGACCTAGTCAGGTCTTTCCTTGGGTGCTTAAACCTTAATGACCTTAGACTGAGAAGTTGGGACAGGTGGTTTCTTAACTTGACTTGCACATTTACAAGCTTAAATCTCTTTATCTCAATCATACTTGATTACGAACTTATGCAGTCTCGGTCAGGGCTTTTTCATGAGTCATTAAGCCTTAATGACCAGATCCTGAAATCAGTCTCTTTTGATCACTCTGATTTAGGACCAGTATTACGTAAAGACCGTAATGCACACACACTCATACATACGCTAGAGCAAAGGTAACAGGATCAGTATGAAAGATAATTAGCAAACCATTATATACCTATCTAGGCCTTTTAATTTTACTTTGCTAAAGTGAGTGAGGTAAGATATAGTTGGATAGTCTTCCTGAGCTAGTGTTAACGTAACATTTCTACAAGAATAAGTTCCAGCTTCGATGATGTTCAAGAGCTCGGCACATTTTCCTCCGAAGTGAGAGAGGATGTATCGTGAACTGCGTCAGCCTGCAGTACAACGGAATTCTGCCATCGTCTTCTGGTGAGATAAACTAACCAATCTTTAATGCAGGCACTTTCATACGAAATGAAGATCTCCCCAATAATATTATCGAAACCCAGTTACTCTTCGTAAGCTAAGCCTAGTTTCAAACCACCACCAAACATCGACCAAGTGTGAAGAAAAGTTGGATTTCGAGGAATCTTTTTTTTCATAATTGTTGAGCCTACTTCCATTTCGAGTGAAAGTGTTGGGTGTAGAGATTCGAAGGTCGGTTTCACCAGAAGACGACGGCGAATTCCTCTTGAACAGCTGTCGATTGGCTTTAGTGGAAGAGTTTTCTTGACCCGTTAGCTTGATTTTGGTTGTGACGATGATATCTTGTGCTGATGATGTTCGTCATTTGACGGACGAAATCTTAGCACCATTTGATCGGAATCAAAAGAAATTACCACAGAAACAGCGTCAGCATGAATTTTCCACTAAAGCCAATCGACAGTTGGTCAAGAGGAATCCGCCGTCGTCTTCTGGTGGTACTGACCTTCGAATCGACCAAGTTGCCAAATTTCATTAACCCGCATACTATAAAGCAGATAAACGAATTAAAAAACCTAATGTAACCAAATTTCGGTAAACTTTCGAGATATTATCGTTGAGACGACTTTGATTGAGTGTGAAAGTGGTTAAAGAATTTATTCTAAGCTTTATATTACCAAAAGTCGGTAGCACATATGCGCTTTTCTGCGATTAGTATATTGTGCCAGGATTTCAAAGATGGGGATTATGCAAGACATTCGACCTTGGAGTAAAACTTATTAGCATATTCTGCTGTATTATCCATGTCAAGCAACCATTCTGGTTCAAAGAACTATTAAGGATCTGCACCAACATCAGAGTGAAAATCGTAGGGTATGGTATAAATAAACTTGAATAAGCCCTAAATTTAAGGACCTATTAACTTTTCATGGCTATGAAGTATTTAGCATTTGTTAGTCCATGACAAAAAGCAAGGATTTGCACTATGATCTTGCTTTGATCCTATTGTTGTATATCTCTATATGGCTAACTACGGAGACAACGTAATAGATGATATTACAAACACCAAATATTCTTAACCGGATATATGAATGAATACCGTGCTATTTGTCAGAGGACTGTAGATAATTTATGTAAATATATATATTACCACTTATCAAGTGAGAAGATAATATAATATTTACGATGGAATTATAAGGAAATATCAATTTAACTTTTTCAGGTGACTCTGTTAGTAGGACCGATACTATGTTCGGTGGGGATGCTTAAAGAAAACTAGCATATGCCGGTTATACTCTACATAATTATAAGAATAATGCTGGAATTTTGGAATCATTGATTATTAGATGCATAATGCCTACAAGTAGAAATAATTCGAATGGAAAGTTAGGCTGTATCTGTAACCTTTTTGCGAAAAGATATATGAACAGTTTGCCAACTATATGTTGACATGTCCTGTCGCCTTAATTGTGAATGTGTGGCTTAGCATAAACGTGTTAATGGATTTGGGATCAACAATCGGAATCGGCTGAACCCATGGCAGAAACTCGAGATAAGATACAATACTCCCTAACACATCGCTTGCTGACTGTGCTGAATCTACTGTTTAAGGCAAAATAAAAGAGGCTATTGAATTTTCAAAAACAAGCCAGTAACTTGAATATAGATATGTGGATAGGAATTTAGGCATAATCTACTTATACAGGGGTTATAAACGTAAGTTGAGAGAGGGTATTTGGCTAAATATAAAAATAAAGCGATTCGACTAGTAATATCGGTGATAGTTATTAGTATGTTCACATTTTTTTAACAAATT